ACTGTGGCTGGGACACTTCTCCTAGCTCTGAAATCCAGCTGCTGCCTGGCAGCTGGGGAAAGGGACGCCAGGGAGTGCTGGGCTGGCCACGGCTCACCCAGGGATGTGCAGGGGGGGTGCAGGGTGGGCTGTGCCCTTCAGTGAACGGAGATTTCGGTGGGTTTTGGCTGTAACCCGCTGGGGGGGTGCAGGTGGGGTCCTTCCTGAGGCACTGCAGTGGCCCGAGGGTGGGAGCAGTGGATGTGCCAGTGGCAGGAGGTGGCTCCGTGGTCCCACAGCGCCCTGGGATTGGCACTGACGGAGAAGGGCGAGGAGGTGTGAGAGCAGCGTGGTGCTTCCTGCAGGGAGCTGGACGTGTGCTGTGGCTGATTCCCTTCAAAGGCAGTGGGAAGGACCGTGGTGTCCCCATTCCCCGGAGTTTTGGTGTCCCCATCCCCGGAGCTGTGCCCTGATCCCTCCGAGCCTGGAGCAGAGCACCCCTCGGGCGCTGTGCATCGACGGGAGTTAATCTGCTGAGTTCCTGTTCCCTGACCACCCCATCGCCGGCTCCTCAGTCCTCCCAGGGGCAGAAGGGGCACTGCCGGGGCGGGGGGGAGCTGCTGGCACGTCACCACTGGCACGAGTTGCTTGTTCACCTCTGTAACACGACAGGCGACGGGGAGCACCGGGACGGGCAGGGAGCGGGGCCGGGAGCCCCCCGGATAAATACATGGCTCAGCTGGACTGTACAAGGCACGGGCAGCGTGTCCCCCCCGGGAGGGACACCTGCCCCGAGCTGCAGGCAGGGCAGGGCAGGGCAGGGCAGGGCAGGGCCGGCTCAGATCTCGGTGGCGATGATGTCCTCGTAGGGCACGTCGGCGCCGGGGATCTCCAGCTCGATGGGCTCCTTGCCGTCCTCCCCCGCGGCCAGCTGCTGCAGCATCTTCTCCAGGTTCTGGTTCCTCTTGTACATGTGCAGGTAGCTCTGCTGCAGCTGCTTCTGGTAGTGGATCACCTTCTCCTTCTCCTCCTTCCACGTCTGCCGCTCGTGCTGGAAGCCGGAGGTCATCTGCTCGTTGTTGTCCCGCTCGGCCTCCAGCTCTGCCCGCAGCCTCTCCACCTCGCCCTGCAGGGCTTGGGCCTCCTCCAGCCCCGCACAGGGCCCGGGCCCCTCCCGGGCCTCGCTCAGCTGCTCCCTGAGGACGGCGAGCTCCGTGCGCAGGTCCACGATCTCCTGCTCCAGCAGGTTCACCTTCTCCCGCAGCAGCTCCGACTCGTTCTTCTTGCGCTGCAGCTCGTTCTCGCACACCTCCAGCTCCATGGCCTTGGTGCGCAGGGACACCTCCAGGTCCTGGGTCTTCATCTCCAGCCCTTCCATCTTCGCCCTCACCTCCTTCAGCTGCGCCTTCAGGCCGAGGATCTCGGTGGTCTTGGTGTTGAGCTCCGTCTGGGACTCCTTCAGCTGCTGCTTCAGCAGGGAGATCTCCCCGGATTTCTGGCACACCTGTGGGCAGGGATGGAGAGCCCGAGTCAGGGGACAGCCCACGGCACACACAGTGCCCCGTGTGAGCCATGCTGGGCACAGCTGGGGCTCAGCGTGTGGAGACACCGAATTGCAGTTATTTCTCTTGATTTAGAATTAATTTAATTAGGATGATTAGTTGTACTTAATATTAAAAATAATTATTCATAAACTTCGGGATTTTCATCAGTTTAACGCCCTTTGTTCAGCAATACCCAACGAGTGAGTAAATTAAGCTCAAGCAGGGAGTGGAAGGTTTTACTGCTCTCTAACAAATGGCCGTGGCAAGTCCAAGTAGTTCCTATTTCCACGTGGGAAGGCAGCTTTACTGCTCCTCTGGGGCAGGCAGCTGGAAAACCCTGTGCTGGAGGCTGGAAATGCCAGGTTATTTTAATGACTGAGTGTTTTTATGCACTGGCTGTTCCCGTGGATGATGGGAAGGGCTGAGGGGTTAAGAGGGGCGGTGAGAGCCTCAATTACAGCTCACAGAACTCCTTGGGTTTAACATCCACATCCCACAGCCCTGCACCCCCCGTGGTGCTGCTGGGAGGCAGGAATAGAGGTGGAGAAGGGCTCCATCTATTGCTGCTGCCAAAGCTGCCCCGTTCCACACTCACACTCTGCTCTGGGCACCCTCAGCCCCAGGTTTGGTGCCCCGGTGCCACTCACCTCCCACTGCGTCTCCTCCAGCGCCGGGGCGAAGCTGGTCTTCTCCTTCTCGTAGGACCTCAGCTTGGTCTCCAGCAGGTTCTGCTCCTTCATGAGTTTCTCCAGCTCCTCCCGGAGCTGCTGCTTCTCCTGCTGCAGCTGGAAGACCTGGAGGTGAAGGACCTGCTGCGTGCGCTGCGTTTTCTGCGAGGTCTGCTTGAGTTTGCTGTTGCACTTCTGCTTGAGGCCCTCCAGCTCCTCCTTGCAGCGCCGCTGCTTCTCCTCGTAGGCCTGGCAGGAGCTGATTTCCTTCTCCTCGAAGCTCGACTGAAGCTCCTGCAGCTCCCCCTCCCTCTCCAGCAGCTTCTGCTCCAGCTCCTGGATGGTGGACTCGTCGGTGGAGATGGGCGAGCGGACGCAGGCGGTTTTCTCCGCGGCTCCGTGGTGGTGGTGAGGGGCTTTGCCGGGGTTCAGGATCTTGTTGCCCCCGTCGGAGAAGGACATGGCCTTGAGGCTCATCATGTTGCTGTCCTGGATGATGGCACACTGCAGGATGTTGTGGGCAGAGCCCCCGAAGCGGCTGATGGGGCCCATGGGGGTGACGAGGGGGTCGAGCTGGTAACTGCTGCTGGTGCTGTGGGTGGGGAGGCTGGACATGGAGTTCCTGCCTGAGTCAGACAGACCCCCCGAGCACAGCACGGGCTTCAGCTCCTGCTCCTTGGCTTTCTCCGGGGGGTGCAGGGGCGGGGGGAGGTGCCCCCCGCTCTCAGGGGGGGAGGAGGAGTGCAGGATGGCCCCCGAGCGCGGCAGCACCGGCTTGAAGGCGGTGGGACGGGCAGGAGGCTTGTCCACACCCTGGGGGAGAGCAGAGCCCGTCAGCACAGACCCAAACCATCAGCACAGACCCAAACCATCAGCACAGACCCAAACAATGCCATCTGTCCCCCCCCACACCCTCTGTCCCCAGGGGCGAGACCCCCACGGCGGGACAGCTCCGCTCTCCCTCGAGGGCCAAAAGCTCGGGAAGATGCTGATGGGTGAAAATGCCTCTGCTGGGAGATGAAGGGTGTGTTTGGGAATTAAAGGGTCTGTGTGCCTTGGATCACATGGCACGATTTTGGATCATGTTGCTGAGCCCAGTCCCCAAAAGCCGAGGGTGGCACAGTGCCCCCAGCACCTCCCTGCTGCCCCTCTCCTCCTGCTTCCCACCCCAAACTGATCTCATGGACCACGGCCAGGACAGCCCTGCCGTGGGACCTGCACCCCCTCCGAGGATGGATGGGGCCCAGTGGGGCACCCCTCACTCCCACCATTCCCCCCACTAACCACTTCCAGCTGGCTGGGGAAGGGCAGCAGCTTCTGCGGCGTGGGCGTCCCGAAGTCGATGCTGCTGCCGCCAGCCTGGCCCAGCTCCCCTCCGGCCAGGGAGGTGTAGTCCCGGTGGGAGCCGTGGGACTTCTGGCTGACCTTGATGTAGAAGAAGTCCTCATTCTTGCTGCTTTTGGAGCCGGACTTGTGTCCGGAGTCCTGGGAGAAGCCGAAGCGGAGCAGCCCGTCCGAGTAGCGGTTGAGCTTCTTGAGGTGGGAGGGCTTGCGGAGGCGGTAGTGGGAGGCGCGGCAGTGCTTGCTGTGCAGGCTGTGCCCGGAGATGAGGCTGCTCACGCTGCCCATGCTGGTCCCGGCGGGGGCAGGGCCCGGCTGAGCTCATAGCAAAGCCGGCGGCGGGTCTGGGGACACAGAGACAGCGGGTCAGGAGCGGCCACGGGAGCGGGGGGTGATGCTACAAAGGTGGGGTTTGGGTGAGAGGGGACACCGAGGGCAGAGCTCAGCGGGGGCAGCTCCAATCTCTGCTCTGGGTGAGCAGCAACAGCACCCTGGAAGGGCTGGAGCTGTGCCAGGGCAGGGTCAGGCTGGATCTCAGGGAAAGGTTCTTCCCCCAGAGGGTGGCTGGGCACTGAACAAGCTCCCCAGGGTTTGGTCACGGCCCCCCCAAACCTGCCAGAGCTCCAGGAGTGTTTGGACAATGCTCTCAGCACAGGGTGGGATTGTCGGGGTGTCTGTGCAGGGCCAGGAGTTGGACTCTGATCCTTGTGGCTCCTTCCAGCTCAGGATATTCCACAATTCTGCCCTAAGCACACCTCGCAGGCACAGCTGGGCACATGCCAGTGCTGACAGGGTTTGTGCCAAGGGCACCTCTGTGCACATCTCCCCTGTGTGCCCAGGGGTGGGTGCAGATGGACCAGCTGCCCCTCGGGCATGTGAAGGGACAGGGATGTTTGCTGGGGCTGATCCCCCCACTCCCAGCCCCGTGGGAAGGAGGGTGGCACCCAGGGAAGAGCAGAACTTTTCCCTGAGCCCAGGGATGGTTCCAGGAGCCTCCCACGAGTTGCCCAAGTCCTCCAGGCCACAACTCCTGAATGGCCAGGGGCATCCTGCCCAACGCCCAGGGGGCTTGTCAGGAGCTGCAGGTTACAGCAGGAGGGCTCTCTACAGGAGTCTCTAAAATGACAAGAGGAGGAAAAGGGGTTTGTAGTGATTTTTAGGTGCCTAAGAGGCATAATTTCAACAAGCACCCTTGCCTTCTGCTTTTTGCACGTGATGGATCTCATCTCCTGCCAACCAGCCGCAGTCACAACCCTCTCCTGCACCAGCCTGTGCCCCCTGATTCTCCAGTTTTCAGTGCCCCTCTTAACCTGCCTGAAAAGGGAAGCTGTGAGGTTTAATTACACTTAATGTCTGTGCAGCACTTCAGAGGAGGAGAGGCCTCGTGTGTGTGCTGAGTGCTGTGAGGAGGGCTCAGAGGGATGGGGGGCTCTGTGCTCGCTCTCTCTGCTGGGGGGAAAAAAGATGTAGAAAATAAACCCCCAGCTCCTGGTGGCCTTTGTGGCTCTTGGCTCCCAGAGCCAGGGCTCTAATGGAGATCCACCTTCCATCCAGGTAATTAGGGGGAGAAAGGAGGAAAGCACGTAATCCAAATGAGTTAAATCCTGTTGGCACAGGATGAGCAGAAAGGAGACATTCCTGCTCCTTTGGAACAGCTCAGAGCTCCCAGTGTTGGCACTGTGTGATCCAGCTCTTCTCCAGAGCTACCCCAGGCCCAGCTCCCATCACCCAAACAGGAATCCTGGGGGTTCAGAGTGTCCCCTGGCAGTGGCACAGGGTTGGGTGGTGCAGGGGGTGTGCCAGGGCGTCCTCATCCTCCAGCTCCAGGCAGTCACTCCTGCGTGTTTCCCACTCTTGGATATGTCCTGCCTTACACCTGCTCCAGTGCCAGCCCCTCTGCATCCCAAAACCAGGGCAACACCGACCTGTGCCCACCCCTCAGCTTCAGCTGCTTCCTTTTCTCCACACCCCGAGGACCCAGATTGATTAAGTATCCAAGGAAAGTCCTGGAGAGGCAGATGATACCATTCTAATCCCTAAATCCATTTTGGGGGGATTAGGAGGAGTAAGCAAGCACCGAGGCCTGAGCTGCTGCCGGGATGCTGATGTGTGAGAGGTGATAAATGACTTTGGGCTTCCCTCACTCGTGCAGGGGAAGAGGCAGAGAGGGCAGGGAGGGGCAGGAATCGCCGCAGGGGAGGGGATCATTGGCACAGGAGGCAGCAGAGCTGCCAACTGCGGTGACAGCAACCCCAGGCAGGGCTCAACACGTGCCAGGGAGCAGCCCTGGTGTGCTGACACATATTTTACACCCGGGTGTATTTACAGGCACCTATGGCAGAGGTGGTGGGGGGGGGAGGTTCGATCCCTTAAACCAGAGGTTTCAGGCTGCGTGGAGCTGCTGCTCCAGGAATTCCAGGCTCTCTGTCCCCTCGGATAGATGTGCCCTTGGGTTTTTGGGTGCCTGCAGGAGAAAGGAGAAATGCAGAAATGCAGGGAGGGAGAGCCGGGACTTTCCAGCCTCTTGGCAGGAGGTGTTTCAATCAATCCCAGCCCTCCCACACACGCCTGAGAGGGTTGGGCACCTCTTTTTCTTCTCCTTCCCCCTTCCCACTTAAAAATGAACACTTTGAAAGCAGTGGAGGAGTTGGAATTCATGGGCAATGTCTGCAGGAAGGGGAAGGCTCTGGAGGCAGCACAGGCTCCCGCTCCAGCTTTTGGGGGACCTCTAAAAGGGGGACCAGACTTGTCCCCCTCCTTGTTCAGCCTCACATTGGCATCTTCCCTGCATCACACCCAGTGACCGGGTGGCTCTTCAGGGAGCCAGATCAGTTCGCTGAGCCAACCCACACCCAGTCATTACGTGCACACAGGTATCTTTGGCTGTGTGGATACATACGTGTATTTTTAAGGGGTTTGCAAGCTCGGCAACAGGCACGGTTGGGTCGGGTCGGGCTTTGCTGCAAAGTGTAAAACGGGTTTGGGGGTAAAAAATGAAAAGTAAGTGATACTGAGAGTGCAGGCAATGAAAACGGGGGGTGCCCCAGCCCGGGCACTGCGGTGGCAATGTCACCGTACCAGCCTGGCTCTGTCCCCAAAGCCAAACGCTGCAGCCCCCCCCCCCGGCTCAGCCCCAGCCCCGCCGGGCTCTCCGCGCTAAATGTGATTACCCTGAGCCGCGATTTGCCCCGTCACTCATCAATTAGCGTCACTCATCAATTAGCGGGGAGAGAAAGCCAGAAAAGACAGGAGCCTTCTCCTCCCGCTCAGCAAAGGAGCCCCTCCGGGCTCGTTTGTCGGCGCCGCGGTGGGGAGGGGGCCGGGGGGGCGGCAGCACGAGCCCGGCCCCCCAGAGCAGTGTCTGTGCACCGCGGCCCTTCAGGGGCTGTGAACAAAACCCCGGAATCACACAACAGTCAGGCTGGGAGGGGAGCTCTGCAGGTCACCCACCCCCCAGGTGAAGTGGGGAGGTGTGGGGGGGACCCGCGGTGCTCCTGGGGGGACAGACCCCCCAACAAACACTCAGGCAGTGTGGGTTAAACCCACGGGATCGGGGCTGAGCACGTGGATGCTCCCACTCCTGCCTGTGCAGGAAGAGGGGGGAAAAAATGAATGGCATCTCATCATCCCAGTCATGCCTTCCCTGCACGTGGGAGAGCAGCTCCTTCCCGTCGCCTCCTTCCTCAATGGGCTGCAGGAATTTAATCTTATCTCCTTCCCAGCACGCTTTCTTTGAGGCTTTTCCCTCTCCCCTGCAGAATTCAGGCAGCAGCTTTCCCTCCACCTTCCCCGACAGGTCACCCTCGCAAAAGAGCCCTCGTTTCCTGCCGGGCTTCGCGGAGTCACTTCGCTCCCTGCTGATCCTGCTCTTCCCCCCTTTCGGAACGCCAGAGCTTCCTTCTTCCCTGCAATCTCTCGCCCACTCTTTTTCCCCTCTCGAATTATTATTCATCCTTTCTGTGCAGATGCTCCCACACATTTGGGTGTTTGTTGGGAGAGGCACAGATAACACAGGGAGCAGCTGCCAGGAGCCCGGCTCCGGGATCAGCCTCCTTCCTCTTTCCCTCGATCGCTGCCAGGTGATGTGCCCCCGTTTCACGCGGTGATTCGGGTCTTTGAGGCACCAGGAATGCGGCCCTGGGGGGAAATGTGGGCATTTCTGTGGCGAAAAGCCCCGCACGCGCCTCGTGGAGCATCCGACTGATGCTTTGAGTCCAGCCTGGGCTGTGCGAGCATCTGCCCGTCCCCGCCCCAGCTCCTGCCTGCCCTCCCCGTGCCCAGCTGGAGCCAGGCTCTCCAAAACCTGCTCATTTCGGTCTCCAAAGAAATGGCAGCAATAAGGGTTTGGAGAGCGCCGACCTTGCCCCCTCCCCGTAATGGTCCCCCCTCCCCGCGCTAATGGGGGGCAATTCAGAGCCTGCCCGGGCAGGCGCCAGCCCGTGGTGCTCAATTGTGGCTCGGGGCCCCACGACAAGGCTCCCATTCACCGCGGGCCATTGTCCCCTCTCCTTCATTGTCATTCATCGGGATCGGTTTGATGGCAGGCGGGCGGTGAATGGAGCACAAAGCGCGCACCATGTGTTCCGCCCCGATCTGCCCGCGGCCGAGGGGGACACTCGACAGGAAGAATAAACCAGCCTCAATTACGCGTTACATCCACTCTAATAGCCCGGGAGTCCATCACACTTAATGTTGTTTCAATGAACAGCGAGAGAATTCACACCCCCCGCCTGGCGCTTGTTAGAGGAGCCGCCGCTGCCTTTGGCAGGGGGTCGGGTGGGCTTCGTGCCAGCGCGGCGGTCCCGGACCGTGCCGAGGCCCTGCCAGTGCGCCCTGGCAGCCGGTCATCCTGCTGCAGGCCCTGCAGGCGAAGGTGCAACCGCTCAGTGGGGGGAAAAAAGGCGGAAAAAGGCAATTTGCCTCAGTTTCGAAGCCCCTCGGCAGCACCGAGGGTGGCTCAGGCCAAGGGCATTTGTGTCACCCTTCCTCCTGCTGGAAAAGCCAGGAATCAGCGCTGAATCCAGCATCAGCTTTGGGAAGGGCTTGGAGGAGCTGCGGGCACTTCCCTTCCCTGCGTGGAGCGACGGAGGCCCCGCTCCTGCCCAGGGATGTGGCTGTGCTGGGAGAGCAGGGTGAAATCATCCCTGGGAGGATGTAGGTGGGACTGTTTGGGGAAGCCAGTCCTGGAACGAGAGGAATTTCTCAAATTAACAGTGAATCACGTTGGCAGGGCGAGCTCTGAGGGTCTGGGCTCCACACCCACCGTGCTGCTCCTGCTCCCACACTGCTCCCACCGCTCCCCTGGGGCCGAGCAGGGAGAGGCTCCTGTCCCTGCCCGGGGACG